CGAGACAATTGAGAGTGATCCCGGGGATGAAACCGTGCGATTTCACAACTGTTTATCGACGTCGTTGTAATCCGGATCCGCCGTTGTTCGACACGTCCGCCGCCGAGGTTTACTCGATTACTGTCTCCACAGGCCACCTCACTTCTTCTCACGCGAAACTGTGCAAAACAGTTTGATGATCTATTATCTGTCTTAAAAATAATACGATCGCGACGGATTTTTCAAATTTACCTTTTGCACTGTCGTAATCAAACAGTATCTGCGTACTTTGTAGACAATTACATTGATAGATGTCTAAGAAAAGACACGTCAGAGAAATTTCTAGCTCTGCCAGACCCAGTGTGTCAAATTAAGCAGCAAGAAATAGGTGTGTCAACAGAAGGTTAACAAATGTAATAACGACCACACGGCGGACGAATTATGTAAAATTGGTCCAGGACGTGTTAAGAAACCTTGAGGACTCGTGTGCAAAGTAATATATCAATATTTATCAATATTAATTATCAATATTTGTGAAATCTGCGTATTCGGACGTCGCATTGGCGCAACATCGATCATTCCAAGTTTCTCTCCTCGTAACATGGCTTTCTTTCTCTCAATCGATAATTTAAAGTGCCGAGATGTAGAACTCGTCGTAAGTCGTAGCATACGTCTCAAGTTTTTAGCTCCCTGAAACTCGTTGTATTTTGCAACACAGACCACCGTGCAGTTTCTAATTCGCCATTGGCCCCATTTACACAACTTGCGCGGCGGCGAGCGCGACGGTGAAGTGGGTACTCGAAACTTGCCGTGAAAAATTGCCGGGAAAATTTTTAATTTCGCACACCCGCGTCGTCGATCTTGCAAAACTTTTCCGGCGATTTTCATTAATTATTCAGATTCGCGTCGTGCGATGACTCGTTTCGCACATTTGTGCGAATTGTCCTTAAAAAAAAGCATTGTCCTAAAAAAAAGCATTGTGTTAAAAATGGTCCACTAAAATTGTGTGTTATTTTACTATGGGGGATGTGTTATAAAGTGCATAAATCTAAATATAATGTTAAATGAACACATACACCACATCAACGTGCGCGATTTAACGCTATATTTGCGTACTTTCATCACAATACCGTTTTTACTACAAAATTGTTCACTACGTAACAACTCCTCGGGTCACAATTTCTCAAATCGCGTTAAAATCGCAACCGACATCGCAACAATCAGCAGCGATGATACAATTTCGTCATGTGACTCGACGTTTCTGCCAGTCAAAGTCGCTCGAATTAAAAATAAAAGTTAACCCTCGATTCAAAATAAAAAGAATGAAATCACGTAAAAAATCACTACGTTTGAATTCACTTGAGATGTAACGCATAGACGAAAATGAAGGAATCTGCGAGGGTGATTTTTTCGAGGAAAGCTTGAATATGAAGCAGCCTGTAGAACCCTGGGTTCCGGTCGGACGATTCGTTCGACCGTTCGTCGTTAACAACGGCCGAAAAAGCACGGGGCGATTTAGCCGCGAAACGATCGTTCCGGCGATTTCTACGACTCGTCGCTTCGATAACAAATAACAACACGGACAACACCGGGCACGATACACACCGCGGCCACGATGATCGAGAGGAGGCGAGAGATTGTTTTCCGCGTGTCTCTCGTGCCTCTCCACGTGCGAGGGCCGCGTGTCCTACGATGCTCGCGCAATAAATCTTGGTAGACCGAATGATCCGCCGCGGTGAATTCAGCGACTGATAAATCTGGATGTGGAAATTGATTATCGGAAGGGAATTCTCCATGGCGAATCTACCCTCGCGTGTACACCTGTATTTATACGCCCGGGGCAATTTGGTCGTGCGGTGCAGTTAATCCTTACCCTTCCTCTCTCTTTCTCTCTCTCTCTCTCTCTTTCTCGCTCTCTCGCTCTATCCTCTTGCTTCCTTCTTTTTTTCTCTATCTATCTTGCTTTGTCCTCCCACTTCCTTCTCTCTTTTTCTATCTCTCTCGCTCTATTTTCCCGTCTCCTTTTCTCTTTCTTTATCTCTCTCGCTCTAACCACCTCTAGCTCTTCTCATTTACTTTCTCTCTCTCTCTCTCTTCTTCATGCTTTCCATCTGTGTACTCTCCGCTATCCCATCGAATACGTTCGCGCACACACACACACATACTCGACTCTCGCGAATATTCTCGTTTTCCAATTTCGAGGACGCTATAACTTTGCCACGAGATAATTAGGATCGGCATTCCCATCTATCGTTGTTTGCTTATCTTTCCGCGCGGCGCCGGATAATGACTCTTGGGAAATGTTCGGGTGCCCGACTTCTTATTTTCTACGAGAGGAGCTCTTGCGCGGATGATCGGAAATACCGATTCCGAGGGCGGCGGCGACTCGAGGATAATTATCGGGGGCGTTTTTAACGCCACCCCTGCCTTCTCTGCCGAGAAGAATAATAATGGAAATTAAATAGAATTACGAGTACGATCGTTAGAGACGAGTGTCCGCGATTAATCATGCGATAAGTGCACGGCATCGCGTCCACGAAGGGACAGGCCGGGACGCGCCGGACGCGATTCTCTCCACGTCCACGTTCGCGTCGTTCTTGCATTCTGTATTATCGCATGTCTCTTTTCTCTCTCTCTTTCTCTTCCCCTCTCTATATATATCTTTACACACACACACACACACACACATATATATATATATATATGTATATTTCTCGACTTCTTTCTCGTCCGGCTCTCCGACTGGCGCGGAATTTCGCGGCCACCGTCAGATATTTATGCTAAATAGGGATTTTGAAATACGATATTGCTCCCTCGCGTGGGCTCTCTCGCCTTGTGGCCAGAAGTTCGAACGTGCACATGCATGCGATGCATAAGGATCCTTATTCGAACCGGCGCAATCGATGTAACGTGCAAAGTGCCCGCATCGAAAGACGTCACGGAGGAGGAGGGGGAAGAGGAAGGGGATAAGAGGAGTTAGAGAATTTCTCCCTCCGGAAAAAACTTGTGTAACGCAACCGTGTGAGATTTCACTGAAAAAGTTATTTTTACAGTCCGCGTCGCTAACATATTTACAGCCCGACGAAGCAACGGTTGCGCCCGACTCTTACACATTTTCGACGGGGAATCGTCTCGATTGTACCTTTCATCCCCCACCTTCTCGTCCCGTTGGATATTTCTCTTTTCTTCTACATGATTAAAAGCGAAGTAAATACCCTCGACAGCGGCCAAAGAGAAGGATATTTGTTCTAAAGCGGAGACATTAAACAAAAGCGCGGTCTGCGTGGCAAAAGCGCGTGGGTGGTGAGAAGCACGGGTCAAAAACGTATCTCGAATAAACAATTCGCCGCGCTCCGCCGCCGGGCATTTGTTTCATATTTCAAAGTAAATTGTCATGGCTATGCCGCGTAATAAATGTCAATAAACCGTACATAAAAGTTTCAATAAATAAGACAGAGGGCGCGACGGGCGCGGCGTGTAACAAATAAATGATACGACGTTTGGCGGCTAAATGGGCCACGTATATCCGATCGGCCGGTAGAATTTATTTAACGTTCCGACTCGATACGAGCTCTCTGCGAAAATATAAAACTACAATCAACTGCAGACTGAAAATAAATGCCTCGAAATCAATCAGACGACGGGCCCGGTAGGGAAAAAGAGACAGGAAGAGAGGAAGAGAGGAAAACACGGATTTAGCGTCGGGAAAAATAGCATAGGAGATCTCGATTGAATTTTCTCGGGGCGTCCTTTGCTGCCGGCGCCAAATTCGGCTTTAATTACGGGACGATCTTACCGCCCGCGTGTAACAGCTTTAGCGGGCGCGCGACGAAAAACGGTATATTGATTACGGTAAAAGCAAAGGTGCCTCGTGTCGATACTTTGAGTGTGCGCTACGCAAGCGTCGCTTAATAGATTTATCGCTACCGCGCTTGCGGTCACATGTACATTTTATGAAATTCTATTACGGGCTGTTTACCGAGGAATTACATGGGATGTATAACGGATGTGAGAAACCGGGCGCATAACGAGCCGAGAAGCGAAGGAGCGGCTCGGGAATCCGAGAGTATCGAGAGAGAGACGGGTGCATTTCATTGCACGGGCTTGAATTGAAAATTAACAAGGATAAAGGATCGCGAGCGGGCAACTGAGCCGCGCAATTGAATTTTAATGCAAATACCTTGACAGTGAAACTGATATTTTGAGAAATATCGCCTCGGGCGGGAGTCGCAGCATCGATTCGCCGCGACACTTTCATTTTACTCGATTTACCGATAATCGCGGAGAAGAGGAAGGAGAGGTTGGGATTTGAATTAGAACCTGCAAGAGTGACGGATATAAAGGCGTAAAAAAAGAAAACGTAGAGAAAATATACTCATATTGTGACGTGATCTTCTCGGAAATATTTAACGAGCCGCGCACTTCGACTCATCATCGCCGTCAGGCGGAACTACAGAAAATCAAGATAAAGTGACGAACACAAGTTACGTGCAATCGACAATTGTCTGGGAATTGTCCTCGGCCAATTATCCGGCATAACTTCGCGTTTGCTCCCCTCTCCCCCCTCTCTTTCTACCTCCGACAGAGCGATTGCTTTTTGCATTGGCGCGACGGCGGGTACAACGGCGAGACGAAATGCGCTTTTGAATTCTCTGTCTACCGTCAAAACGCGGGCTGAAATAGAATTGTCTTTTTCTTCCCGCTGTCCCTTGCACCTTGCGATCGATGACGCCGCTCGCACCGTCGCCGCACCAAACCAATCAACTGTTTTGCATCTGGTACCGACACACAATTTGCCGCACTTTGCACGCCCAACGGCATCTCGTTCCGCGTGCGGCGCGTTAATAATGCAGTTCGCGTCTGCCGTTTAAATTAACCGGCTTTCCTTTCCATTTCCCGACACTTTATCACATTTCACATTTAACCGGCCCTTACAAAGCCCCGTAAATATTAATATAAATTCAGCCGCACGAAGGAACGACGCGCAATAATAATATCCGGACGTTTCGGACGTTACGCACCTCGCACCGCTGCCTCGTCGTCGACCTGGAATTTCAGCGAGTTGGAGCGTCTGGAGAACCTCAGCGTGTGCCACATGTCATCGTTGAGACCTTGCCCAGCTACCAATATCTGTAAGCGCGAGAGATAAATTACAAGTTGATAACAACGAGCTCTCGATGAAAATGCGATAATTGAATTGTTATAATTATCGGGACTTTACGGGTCTGCGATAAGTAGGACAGAGCCGAAGCGTGGACGTTAACGCGCGACTCTTCAATTCTTCCCGAGAGGGTGTCGTCAAAGCGAGTGTTTCATTTTTACACGATTTTTCTACAACGAAGCGCTCGATCGTATTTCGCTTCCGCTCCCATCGCCTCGTCGACCTTTTATTCCCGTTAATTTTAATTCGAACCTCACTCCTTCTCTCTTCCCTCTCTTCTCCCTTTAATTATTAGTAAACAAGCAAAACCGATGCAGCGTTCTGATTCTTGGCCGGGGCAATGGTTTTCACAATATCGGTTTTATTTGTCAGATCGTGAAGGCATTCGAATGAAAATTAAGGGTAATGGCAGAGACGGAACGATCGAAGCGAACATGAAATATGACCACTGAGCACTTCGGCGTAGAGAAATCGCACACACATTCGCTTTGACGTTACCCCGTCGAGGGGATTTAATGAATTGCGCATTGGCAATCGCGATTCGCTCCGATAGGTTCATTTATAATACATTTGTTGAGCACAAGATAAGGTAATGACTGTTATCACTTCGAATATCTTGGAAGTTTTACTTGGATCACATAAATACAACTTGTTTGGATAATTTACATTTCACTTGAAAAACATTTTACTCGGATCGAGTAAATATTACAGCTAGTCAAGATCGTTCTACATTCTACTCCTCTTTTTTCTCCGATTTATCAAACGTTCCTTCCAAAACGGAGCCGGTCGATATACTCGCGCCGGCAATTTTTATCGTATTTCGCAGCAACAACGTCATCGCGTCGCGATGGGTTTAACGCTATCGATAAACCACCTCTATGAGACGCCTGTCATTTGACCGAGCCCCATAAATCCAAGCAACTCGTCACTATCTGGCACGGTCCCCATTGCAACATACGATATCATGCGTCGCGTGATACCTGACGCGCGTTTGTCATCCACCGTCATCTATGCGTCGTTTGCTATTGCCATTCAACATTATTATTGCGAGCGCCGAACGAGGCCGTTTAATTTTGTATCGACCGTGCGCGAGGGGACGCGCTCATTCCATGCTTGAAACTGAAATTTAAAAAAAAAAAGAGGGGAAAAAGGAAAACGAGACTGAGAGAGAGAGAGAGAGAGAGAGAGGAGGGAAAAAAAGAGAGGCCCGCCATTGAATTTTCATCGGAGGGGGAAAATCAGCTTTAACTTCATCAAAGTGTCTGCGGTTCGAACGAAATGCGATACTTGGTAAATTGGCCTGATAAATTGCACATTACGGTGTTTTTGCCGAATCGGCTCTCTCGTGTTCCTTCCTCGGCCTTTCCGAATTGGAATCCAAATCGAGCCATTTATAACACTGCGCGAATTTAAACGCTTGCAATGTCTGCGCAAGCGAGACTGTCGCTCGCCGCTGAAAAGGAGCTTATTAAAAAAATAGCTTTCGCGAGTACAAAAACGGATTATTAATTTTCCCTCTCCCCTCGCTTTCTCTTTACAAGATACGCAGGATGAGGGACGTGAAGAGCGCACGAAGGGACGATTTAAAATGAAAGTTCTAAACGCGCGCGAGCAATCGGGGGAACGGTGAGACAACAACGACGACGACGATAGGAGGACGACGAGGATTGGTCATCTCTGCGAGTAGATGGGGCAATTAGCGACGTTTTGTCGCGATCTCGAGTGCCCGATCGACGGGCTCTTTATCGGGACGAGGCAATCGGGGACGCGGAAGTGGGTTTCGCGCTACCCCAGGTCGTATGGCTCGCCGACGCGCGCATTTGTGCACGTGTGTGTATGTGTATACGTTATCGAGTTGAGCATGATACACCAGCGGGAAATCGATTATTGGGCCACGCTGTTGCGTGAAAATTCTATCGCACTTTTTAATCGGGTCGTTGGCCCTCGCGACGTCGTTGTTGCCCGGCGTGTAAACACGAGCGGGCAGACACGTGTAATAAAACCGAACGGTAACGAGTTCGATTGTCGTGGCCGAGATAGGAAAGGCGCATCGCGATGCCGCGATAACAGCGAGAAAAAGGAAGAAAGAGAGGCGGAAGAGCCATCTCCGATGTCGGGTGTCCGAGGAAACGGTCGCAAAAAAAATTGTATGCGTGCGAATACGCCGGCGTGATCTCGAACAAGTCGACGAGAGTGAAGGCTGAGAAAAATCTCGCGAAAATTCGAGTTCTCATCGGGGCCTCCCAATTATATCTTCTTCTGGTATTAACCTAAACAATAGTAGTTAGCGATACATTGGGAGAAAAAGTGCTATATTCAAGTAAACATTATGCTGAGGATTATCGGAGTAATGATTTTCACTTGGATTAAATATGTATTATGTGAATGTAGCGCTTTTTTCTTTCAGTGTACGCATGTAAAATTATTATCATTGACGTTATAATAACAATTACTAGACGAGTGGTTCTCCCGACTATAATTCTTTCACTTGTGATTATAGTTACCAATATCAAAAATTTTTCTTATCAGACAATAAACGCGAATGCGTACTGAGCGAAAAGCGTCCGGTATTTGTGACTGTAATTGCGATAGCAAAGCGATCAAATCAATGAAATTATTTTTGTAATAAACGCTACTCTAGTATTAAAGATAACAACCTTATATGAATATTGCTGTTATACTTTTTTGTTAAAAAGAATAAAAAATTTGGTTAACGCCGAAAATAACTATAATTCTACTGTAATTAATCATTTCTTTCTCACAGTGCGTGAAAATAATTACAACGAAGCGTAGAAGATCGCGACTTCTTGCTAATGATGTAAAATCGTTAAAATCATTAAAGTAAAACCGACTTTGGAGTCTTTATAAGACAGGCGATACCGCTATTAGTACAACCGTTTATAATAGCTTATTATTAAATAACCGTTTTAATATATTAAATGAGAGAGAGAGAGAGAGAGAGAGAGAGAACTGGAAGCAGCGCCTGTTTGGATTTTAATCCGTTTGATCGCGGCTAAACCCAACAAAAGCCGAGCGTGGTAACTGAAACCGACGGATAAATAGAATAACGTAATAATCTTCCGGTGATTAAATCAACAACGATCAAACAACATTCGGCTATTAAAGCGCTAACTTACCGCAGAGTCGGCGCGATATTTTTGCGAATCGATCGTTGCAAAGTCGCCACGATCGAAGATTCATTTCTCCCCGTTCACGGAGTGGGTCCCGCTGGATTGACAAATTAACGAGGAATTATTAAGAATCGCGGAATAATCTCGGAACTCGGAGGGGGCGGAGGTGCTCGGCGTAATCAGCAAGCGCGCGGGCGCGATTGAAATCTTCGTCGGCGTTCGCAAACTTCGTGGGAGAAACTCCGCGGTGGAAATCCGGTTTTCCGTAGACTAATCGTCGAGCGCCGCATTATCGTATCAATTATTCCGTCCAATTAACGAATCCGTGTAGGTACAGAGATTGAAACATTACCGTAAATTACCGCGCGAGCCCATACGCCTTGTACGCTGCGCGCGCGTTTACGACGCGCGCACGTGTACGTATGCATGCGGTTCCTTATTCGCGCGTACAAGACTTCCAAATGACTTCGGCTCAAGACTGTTAATTCGGCTCGTGATATCTAAGACTTTAATATCTGAGGTAATAGTGCCGCGCGCGTGCGCGCGCGCGATACGTTATTCCGTGGCTGATTCTACTCGCGGTGATTGCATTGCCGTTCGGTAGCGCCTAATCAGCGTCGAGATGAGAATTTTGCTTACGCTACGAGGCATATAAGTACGCTCATTTTAACTTACATTATTGCGTAAAATTAAGTTTTATCGATTACTCAACAAAGAATCTGAATAATCAACTAGTGCAGGTATACACTAGAATTTTACTTTTAATTTTGCTCAAATAAAATATAATAAATACTGATGTAACTGAATATTAATAATAGAAATATTTTAATTCGTATGTATAATATGTTATAATATGATAGAGCGATGTGATAATTATAGTTTGAAAGTTTCGGAAAAAAAATCGTTCCCTCCTTATTTTCTCGCGAGTTTCTTCGGTTTCCATCCCAGGGAGAAATTCAACACCAAAATCTATCTGTGAAAATTCACACATGTTCGTCATTTTTTCCGTAAAGAGAGTAAGAAACTAAAAAATATTAGCGGAAAAATTGGGAGAAAACGGTTCTCCGTCGAAACTTTGAAGCTACAGTAATAATTATTATCACTTTGAATATCTTCGAAATACGAGAATAGAAGAAAAATTCACCAAACAGAAACTGCATTGATTATACTTAAGTAAAATTAAGTAAAATTTGGCTGTACTGGTACCTACTTACATAAAGGGAACCGAGTTTCAGGATTATGTAAATTTCCTTTTGCGCAATCAAGTCAGATAAAGTTAAAGTCGAGTCGGATGAAGAATCTGACGTAAGAATTGGAACTGTAAAATTTAGTCAACAAGATCAACGAAACTGTGACGTGGTTGTATGCGCGATGTAGGCGTTTCCTCAACTTACCAAAACAAAGAAAAGAAAAAATCAGTTGACGGATACGGCCAGTAATTTGTCGGATCAGACTCATGATCGCTTCATTCAGCGAAATTCGGAGCTTGTTCCACACGAACAAGCGACTGAAAGAACATCAAAATTTCGCCGGAAGAATCAGGGTGGTTAATTCGCCGGTATACAACCCCGAAATTGAGTTCATCCAATGCGATTCCAGTTATTCGGACGATTTTTTGTTCCCCGAGTGTCTGGGAGAAGTTTTCACGGCGAGCGTCACGTTCCCGTGAAAATCGAACCACATCCGTAAGTGCGAAAAACGCGCGCGGGGGGCGAGGCGCGAAGAGGAAAAAGGAAAGGGAAGAAAGAAGGGCGAAAAAGAAGTCGCGCATTTATGCAGACACCTAATGAGAAAGCTGCGAAATCGAATCGGACGATTTACCGTTCGCCCGAGCGGAAACGTCGCGATTGCAGAATTGGTTATGTATTTCCATGTACACGCGGCTCGGCGGAACGGCAGCGGCGAGATTGCGTGAGCCGGGGGTTGCGCAGGGATGCATTCAGAAATGCATTTGGCTCCCGGGAAAACGATCGATGGAGCAGCGCCGGAAGCCGCTTTTCCGCGACCTTGGAACGGAGAGAGAGAACGGCCGCACTTTTCCCGATCTCTCGACAATCTCGCGAATCAGAGATTCGCCACCGGCGGCTTAACGGCGATCTCGACGCGGCGATGCACGAAACACGTCGAGAGGGCGACAAATAGCGAAGGCCGCCCGCCGGCATCTGCCGGCATTGTATTTTCAGGGCGCCGAGCTGTGCCAACGGCTCGCCGACGGAGTTTGCGAGGGTCTCTGAATTTTCGGGTGGCCGGTGTTTCCTTTGGGACACCGGAACAACCTTAGCTGGCAAATTGGAATGAGCGAAAAGGGGAGAAACGAGACGCAGCGGGGAACGACAGGCAGATGGACGGACGGACGGACGGACGTCGGGTGGCGATCGTAATAACGAAATAGCGAGACGACGCTGCGCTGTACTCCGAGGCGGGAGGACGACGACGTGCCTCTTCGCCGGGAATTTTACTCGCGCCCGATGTTCGTCGGCGTAGAATATTGTTTCAGTATACGTAAGCCGCGTATATGACAGCGCACATACGCACGTGCACACACGTACGTACGCGCGCGTGTGCACACGCGCATGTACACAGCTCGAGACGAAGCGCACCGGGCGCACTGATTAAATAACGAATATCTGCGGAGACGCGAATGTACGGAACGCCGTCGTCATTGTCGTCGTCGTCATGACGTTATCCCGCGTGTCTCCAATTAAGCTTACGAGGAAACATCCCGAGACGCGCGATGTTTGACGCGACCTGTCGACTTTTTCTTATTTCGCACAGTGTAATTAACGCGTCATGTTTGATCAACACTGCCGCGTTGATTGCCGGTAATTGTGCGAGAGCTCAACTGATCGTTGAGTTATCAAGGATTCGGTAAATAGATACAATTCGCGTGTACTGAGAGAAATTATAGCTATTTTTGACCTAGACTGTATTCTTTTTACAGTTTTAATTACGAAAATAGTAATAGAGTAATGTGCGTGTAAGGTTATTAATTATTATCACTGACGCTACACGGAGAAAACAAATTTCGCTGGAACAGCAAGCTGTTGGTTAATACAGTGACAGCAAAAAAATTCGTTGCACGGAAAAAATAATTCTGCTGTTGTAGCAAAACGTCGTTGCGACAGCAATAAAATTTAGTTGGCATAATTAAATTACTTTGCTATTCATATATCTAGCAAATGACAATTAATATTCTTAACAAATTTTTTTGCTGTCCAAAGACAGTCCCAAGATGGAATTTTTTTGCTATTACTATATTAATATTATTAACATAATTATGTTAAAAAACAATTTGCTGTTCTAGCAAAATTTATTCTCTCCATGTGGATCAACACTTATTAGAAAAATGGTTATCTCTCGACTATAATTCTTGTGACGTTTATACTTATAAGTATCAAATATTTTTCTCTCAATGTAAGGAAAACCAAAGAAAAAAACAATGAAAAAGGGGTCGCAAAATTTTCCTTTTAAATACTCCATCCTGAATTTCACAAAAATCGAAAGAATATTACGATAGAATTAATTAATTCTTTTTCTCCTTATATTGTCAAAAGAATTGTGAAACTAACTATTGAATTAATTAATTAAACATTTAATTGTCAAGTAATCTATTTTTCTCTCTACATTGTTAATTCGTTTGCAAATAAATAAATAAATAAATAAATAAAAGATGCCTCCCCGGTTTCCTTCCGTACACATCCTTTACCTCATTTTAAATTAACTACAACCGAGCTTTTCAAGCGTAATTAATTATGTCTTCTACGTAACTTGCCGAGATGCGGTGTCACAATGATGCCGTTCGCCGCTAACGTCACGGAATTCAATGTGTTAACCTCTCGAGAATTTCGTGGCGATCGATTGAATCGCGCGCCGCGGTCTCCTCTCATCGCACGGCAGGTGAGCATGCGTTTCAGACCTCGATTCGATTTTCCTTCCGAAATAAACACTCGGCTCTCGAGCGTCGTCATATCCACGCACATGTAAGCTCCGGTGCTTTTTCGCCAGACGACAGACGACAGCGGAGCCACTTTGGAAAAACGCGGCCCTGTGAGTGACGTTCTCGAAACGGCAATCGAGTGTCTTTTGACAAGAAACAAATCAGTCGCGAGTGCACTCTCACAGGGGAGGCTTAACAAATGCGCATGGACACGTGCCAGTGAATAAAGGCAGCCGTCGGTCGTGTCGGAGGAGTGATTGGCATCGTAGAGACAAAAGACACGACGCGATCCGGTCTGACGTGCTCGCGTTCTCGAATCGAATTTTTGTCAGTCCAACAGCTATACATTTCCGGTCTCTCAGCTGTACCTTCTTCTGGTTTTAACTCCCAAAATAGTAGCAGTAACGGGCGCGCAAATTTTTATTACCACTACATTGTGAAACGTACATTTCTTGACTTTGACTTTGCGTGCTTATTTTCGAAATATTCTTTGCAATCACTTGATCTTTGAAACATTGACATTGTATTCATCGCGCCTAGATTTGCGTTTGGCTTGTATTCTGTCTTTATTCTTATTTATTATCACTGACATTATAATAACGTTTATTAGAAAAATTGGTTCATTAATTATATTCCTCATGTTACTATTACTATTTTTTGTGGCTGAAACTATAAAAAGGGTATAGCCGAGGGCGAAAATAACTATAAATAAATGAGCAAAATTGGTCTCGTTTGAATCGGCTGACGCGTCTCCAGCGTGTCGCTCCGCTTCCAATGTACAGACAACAGTCTTGCGGCGTGCGATGCGTTTTCTTCTGCGTCTGCGAACTGCATTCGACCTCTGCGGACGGTCCTTAAAATTCCGACGGCGCGAGTTTTTCCGACGGAATTATTCACCCGTGCGAGACAGCCGCGGCGATGGACCTCCATCGATCCTCCGGGTGGAAAAAGTTTCCCGAGCGATTCGAGCCGCCGTGGGAAAGAATATTCCCTTGCACGGGGAAGGGATGTAAGGGCCGCCAGTCATTTACTCTCGGCGAATGCCGCGGGGTGACGTATTAAGTTAACGTCACGACGTCGCCTCTAGTCGCTACGAGAAGACGATTCACGTCGACTACACCGGGCGTCCCGACGGCCCTGACATCGAAGACGCCCCGGGAATGTAAATCCTCGCAGATCGCGTGCGCGCGCGCGCAGTCCTTCAACTTGCGAGTGTGCGCTCAGTTGACGTTAAGTAGATAAAATTCGTCCAAAGCCAAATTCAATATCTCGCCCTTTCAACAACAACGCGCGCTAGCGCGAGATATCTCGGAGCGACGCTCCGAGGTACGTGGCGCTCGCGCCAAGACTCGGCTTTGACACGGCGCATTCTGATCCCGCCGTGTTCAGTTTCCGTGTCATTTGCGAAATACAACGCGATCATTTCACGAGAATCCGCGCCTACCCGTTCGATAAGTAACGCGCCGACTGCCGCGCGTCGATTTCCATTGACGCTATAACACGCGTTTGCACACTGTCAATTTTATCCTTCCGTTGTTCGCATTGAAATTACCGCGCCTGATATCTCGCGGTCGGCTCTTACCGGTTCTTACCTTATTTTCGTGAAGTTTCTACAAAGCCGATAAATATTCGCGATTCTTGGAAGGTTCAATTCATCATTGAATTATTAAAAATGTAATTTCAGATTTATTCACTTATTTACACGTATGGGAACAATATTCTTACGTATAAAAGGAAAATAATAATATAGTATCACTTGTAAAGATGGAAAAGACAAAAGGGGAGAGAAAACATTTACATTTCTAACAATTTCAGAACTTAATTTGTTTCTCAGCAGAAGTTCGAGATATTAAAGAAATCAACACAATAAGAAAATTTGTTAGCCAGCATGCTCAGCCGATTAATGAATTTAAACTTACCACGTAGCGTTCGATGATACAGAATAAAGAAAAGAGAATACCTTCTAAGGCATCTTCCAGCAAGAACGTTAAACCCAAGAAGCGCCATAATATTGGGAAGATGTCTTTTACATCGCTTCATTGGCTCTCCATTATATGAATCAATTTCTTTACGTACTATTAATTATAACTTGTACTTAACGAGAGCACGGCAGCATCAATTTTTAGTTAATATATTTCTCTAATTAATTCTGTAACGAACTCGCCGGTAACAAGTCGTCGCTGAAGTGTCTCACGGTGTCGAACGAGCGAGGACATTCATGCGTGTGTCGCGGTCTTACCTTTTCCCGATCGCCGATGTGGATCAGCATCCTCGCCTTGCCCTCCTCCAGGTAGATCTGCAAACGGTCGGAGCTGTTCTCCAGGCTCGTAGCTAAGAGGAGACCGCGCTGCCGCGTCGTCTTGAATCGCACGATGACCTCCTCCGCCTGCGTCCTGGAGTCCTCCGGCATCAGCGCGGTCATCTGCTGCGTGCCGTTCAAGTGCAGTGTCGATGCATCTGTAACAAGCATAACATAAACGTGAATTGTTAATTTAAATCTGAAAAAGAGAGAGGAATTTATTATTTAATTTAACGAGTAATGTTAAATTAAATATAGACGTTCTTAGAACGTCTATTGAATATTTATGCTATATGCGATATAGGATCGTAATTTTTTAATTAGATTAGGTAGCTCCGTATATAATATAGAAAAATATACATATTTAGATAAAATTTTAGTCATTTAAACCAAGTTAGATTAAAAACGAAAGACATAATTAATATTTTTGACTTGGTAGAAATATCAGTTTGATTAAAACGATAGGTTATGATAAAATATTATCAGATTTGTATGTAGGATCATTCAATAATTAATCACGTTAAATTTGAATATACTCTCTCCCCTTCTCATTCTCACAATTTCATCACAAAGTATTTGCCCTTTCCAATATTACGTGACATGTGGAATTATCCCTCCCCCCCAATTTCAGTCGAAAATAAAAAAAAATAGCTTATAACTATATTGAATAATAATTATTAGACTGCTACTATATTTTTTTAAACAAAAATAAATTTTATGATATTGAATGAATTGTTTTATAATTTTTATTAGTAAAATTTGTAATTTTTATCTGTTAAAAGAATAAATATTTAAAATATTACATTTTCTTTTATTTTAATTATTAACACAAAGTCATGTCAAAACCGAAAAATCTTCACCACGTAATATGTCACGAATGCAAACATGAATGATAATCATGTGAGCATCCATGTTTACAAATTATGCCATTAATTGCCATTATATCATATGAACGTGACGTTTCATGACCTTTACTTCCCCTTCTCTACCTCTCACAGACCATAAAGCAAGCTAATAAACCCCTTCCATCTCGTGTTGTGATGCAATTGTTGAACGGTTCCTGCGGATCTATCATTACAAGCTTCGCTTTGAATCTATTTCCACCAGTTTTTTCAAGCAAGGCATCCATAACCTCCATTTGAAGAAAAGGCCGGAGGAGCGGCCGTCTCTTATCGTGCAGGAATCAGGAATTCAAATGACACGTCGTACCTTTGCCGCAAGTGGGTCCGGTGAAAGGCGTGCCGGTGCAGTCGCAATGAAATCGATTCCACCCTTCGAGACAGTGGCCACCGTGCATGCACGGTTGCGAGGGGCAGTGTGGAGTTTGAATGGGGCATGCCGGTCTCACTGCACCTGCGAAATAGATTAGCGGTCGCGATGAAGATGGCGACATGTTCGGCGAGTTTTGCGAGTGAGTTTATCCAGCCGGGGAACGACCCGTCCGCTCCCGCTGAGATCGTTCGAGATTATTCGAACGTACGCTACTGGTTTCTCCGCGGAGGGTGACAACGTTGCAAAAGTGGCGGGATAAGATTCGCGACGCACGACGCAGTCGCCGAGCGCGGGGTGGAAGCGGCCGTGCAAGCCGCTTGGGTAGCGGCAGGCAGTCACGAGCTGCGGTGTCCGAGTGGTTAAGGAGTCAGACTCGAAATCTGATGGGCTATGCCCGCACAGGTTCGAATCCTGTCCGCAGCGGAACATTTTTTTTTTCCGCCGGCGATCGCGCGGAAAATTCTTCGTCGGTTTCGCCCGTTGCATGTTTGATACCTACGAGATCGCGCGCCGCGGGATATTTTCGTCGACAAATGGTTAACAAACACAGTAGTTATACCGGACGGGGAAAAAATATTTTGCCACGGCGATCAGGAGCGACGCGATTTATTCCGCCGTTACGAGCAATTACACCGCTCCGGGATGTATTTTGATTTCGGAGAATATCTCCCTCTCTTTCTTACGTTCGACTAAACATTGAACTCGGAGACGACGAGATATATCCGCAGGTCGACGACAGATCGCGGCTCTGCTTTCCGCGAATATATTTTCATCCGGCGTGCGTAACATTATACTTTTATTCTTTTCGCATTGCTCTTCGGATTTTTAATTCTCTCGCGTTGCTTTTTGTAAAAGCGACTCTGCGCGTTCATGAAAAAAACCCAAAATGCTCGGCTTCGTAGAGAAAAAGGGAGGGGGCGACCGTATTTGTAGTCCGTACGGCGTGTGGATTATTTTCCGAAACGCCGCGTTTTTCATCATTGTAACATTTGCCTACCGGAATCCTGCTGCTGCGCGTATCCCGCGATGTCTACCGGGTGTCCATTGATCACGAGGTCCCTCAGGCAGCCCACGTAGCCCTGTCGGAGGGCGCCCGTCCACAAAACCGGGGGCACCGTTAACGGGGCGAAGGGCGCGCCGACGCCGCCGATGTACAGCAAACCGTCCAGATCTAACTGTGTAGAATCGCCTGAGGGAACGGTACATTTTATTCATATTTCGCATTGAATACACGGAGGATCAAATCTCTCTCGTTTATCCCCGCTATTAGACGGCGAATTCTTATTGATCACCTATGGAATCATTTATTTAGTAAATGTTGTCACGTACACGGGAAAAAAAATTAGTCTTAAATCAATGATAGCAATCGATGATAAGCAAGAATGTTGTAATTTTTTTAGAAGACTTTTAGTCTTGATTTGGTTGAATGTATATTGATGAAAGTATTATATGCATTCAATTCAAGGCCAAGAAATCTTCTCAGAATATTATAATATATATGAGAATATCTATCGTTGATTTACATAAGATTATTCTTTTCTGCGTGGCGTTAAAATGCGCCGATGCACAAGCCGGCATTTATAGTACGCCGCGAAAAACACGGAATATCAAATCTATCGCTTATTAAATACTCATGGTGGCAATTAACGTTCAATTAACTTATTGTTAAAAGTAGTCTGTGATCTTTGATTTACACGCGACCTGTGCCATGAAGTTTCTCTTTATTCCGCAGGAGGAGCAGGCAACAGCTTGATGAAATATTAACGTGCGACAAACGAGCGGCATTTTCCGCGATAATAAAAAATAACGTCGTAAATAATATCGATCGGCAGCTTTCGTCGAACGTTGATGAAATTAAGTCACCTCCGGTTAAGGTTCGCCTAATAGTCGTGATTCTAAAATCCGCCGCATTCCCAACACTCTCTGACATTTCGCGATAGATCAAGCGCGATGTTTATAAGTACTGAGATTATTATATCGGGGGTTCGATTTATATTTACATGATTGATATATATATATATATATATAATCGGTTGTGTAGTTAGACCGGGATCTCGAAACAGCCGAACGATACGGGTAACACTTCGCACATCGCGATAAAAATATAGAGAGAGACACGGAGGAAGTCAGAGATCTCTCGTTTCTTTTTCGCACTTGGCAACGGTCCGTGTTATTTGCGCGCGGTTTTGCCGGGATGCAAAGACGAAATTGCCCCAGACTCTCCTCTCGAGCAGAATTCAAAGGTGAGTTTCGTCGGCAAATTAACCGTCCGTGTAATTCGGCTAACCGCGACAGGTCGTGGCCGCGATAGGGTGGAAACGGTGCGCGGCGGTCGTACTGAAGTTATGAATTTATCTCGCGGACGTTCAACGAATGAGAAGAGAAAAAAGATGGACAGAAGGAAGATAGATCAGCAGGTGGAGGGAGAGAGAAGATGTGGGGGGAAAAGGGAGAGAAGAGAAAGAAAGAGAGAGAGAGAGAGGGGGGAATTTTTATGTTAGCTGTTAATAAAATTTATCGCGCAAACTCTCTCTAAAAACGAGATCCGACGCAATCTAGAAAACACAATGAAGCCGTGTGAGCGTAATCATTTATTGCGCTTTAATTAATTTCTGCTTCGAGAAGTTAAGCAAAAATTGCGCCCCGAGGCTGCGAGAGGACTAAAATGTAAAAGCGCGCGTGTGGCGTTTTTTAAGTAACGAAAAACACTCAATCGCGTAATGCAGTGGCGCAGACGTTTCTATTAAAACGCGCGAGGGGGAGAGAGAGGAGGCCCAACACCGTCGATAATATATTAAAGAAACATTTCGTGCAATAATAACCGCCTCCCGCGATTAAATCAAACGCAAATAAGCCAAGTACAAGGAAAATAAATAACTAAATCGATCAGTACTCACCGATGAAATTAAACGAGCGCGCGCGACCGCTACCGTCAATGCAATTACAACCGCTAATTCGGTTAATGCTCGCGCGCATTTTGCTCGCCGCTCGGATACACTATCTTCCGTTTTTCTTTTTTCCGGAGAAAGAAAAGTAGAGAGAGAGAGAGAGAGAGAAGGGGAGAGGAGAAGAGGAGGAAAGGGAGAGAGAGGGAAGGAGGGAAAAGAATCAAGAGGAACAAGCGGCGCAATAACGTTCTCGGCGATTCTAAGTCGTCGTTATCTGCCGGAGAATATATGGGTCCTCGCTGTCTCAATGAAATTCTTTTTATCGTTTTTTTGCGGTATCGGGCGGCGGGGTGTTCGCGGCCGGCACATACGTAGTGCTCTATCACTTAGCCGCGGTGCAGTGAGTAAATTCTGGACATCGCGGCGCCGCGCACCGACGTAAACGGCGAGCTGAGCGGGCCGAGTCACTCATAATTCAGAGTTACACGCTCGAGGACACTTATCTGCCAGGCCAGGCTAGACACTCCATATATACGGTGAGATAGTTCTTTTTGAAAAACTGCCGGTACGCGTGGATTCGCCCTGCGAACGCCGACTCTGCCGGCCCCGCGCCATCGCCGCCTCCGGCACATCGATTTATCGATCGAGCTCGAGTTTTGCGCGCGTTTCCGGCAGTACCGAGATATACGACGAGCGACGAGTGCCCGAAGGAGGGGGAAACTCTCCTTCGGATGCGTTCGGCGAGTTTATTACCTGGCGTGCGAAACTCGACTGTCCAGGTGTCGACGGTGACACGGCCGTCCCTTTCGACTCTCCTCAGGGCGACGTCGTGCCAGACACCGTCGTCCACGCGTGCCTTGGACGCTCGCACTTTGACAGGTCCACTTCCGAGGTCGACGTGCAGGTAGAGATGTCCGCCGAGAATCTCGAAGGCGAACAGATCTTGCTGCAATGGACAGAAACGGGTCGCGTGTGCGGATTGAACGGATCGTTGAACTATGCTGAACTATATTAAATTTGTTAAACCACATTGTGAGCTCTCTCTCTCTCTCTCTCTCTCTCTCTCTCTCTCTCTATGCATTTTAATATATTATTCAACTCTATTAAATGGGGAAGTTCTGTGGTCTGGGTGTTGCATAATTCGAGAGAGATTGAAAAAAGTAAAATACCGCGGTTTGGCCGGAATTATTTATATCATAGTTATTGTATGTTACGTACATAGAGAAAAAGGCTTCTTTGGATTTAATACACGCGTTTGTTTGACTTGGATTTGTTTACTATAAACAACACAATTTAATATCAAATATCATTTTGTTTGAGTGAAAATATTATTTAACCAAAGTAAACCATGTTTGAGTAGAAAAAACCATATTTAGAGGGAATATATAATATTTAGCTTTTCAATAAAGCAAACTTATTTTATCATACATTGTTAAATATTGTTCCACTGAAACAAAGAAACTCTTTAACTCATTTTTTTAACATAGTGCCATACTGCTTTCAAATAATTTATTGCTTGTGACAACCATCCTTACGTTTGGATGAAAATACAAAAGAAACGTGTTATTTGACGTAAAAAGATTTATTGAGAAATTAAGCAATCTTGTTTGTTGAATCGAACACTCGTTTCTTTGTTTCATCCCAAAGACAAATTTGCTTTAGTTAAAGAAATTCTATTAGATACAGAAAAGTCTTTTTTTTGTGTACTAAATAATTTATATTATAAAGTGGCTTTTAACATGACGAAAGAGCAACTATTGCAACATTTGCGCAAATCACGCTTGAATTTCACGCGGAGAGAGAATATCATGACGTAAGATTTTCGCACAGCTGGCAGATTGCGGCTGAGCGCGGGGAGATTTATTTGCCGTCTATGCTTGAAATAAGAAAAGGCTATTATGGCAATTCATTGAATTTCCGTTATTAGACAGATGAAGATATATTACCGCGTGTTGGCGCATCATCGTTATTAGCGGAATTACGCAGTAAATGAAGACGTATCGCGGCGATCCAGATTTACCGGCCATTAAAAAGGACTTGTTAACTTCGGCGAATAACATTTAAATTAGATTAGACCCTCTTCAATTTTTACATAATATCTCAGTGACGATGGGAGAAGAAGCCTATAACGCAGACCGTAACTCGTCAACATGTTTTCCTTCCCAACAACGATGATTTCATTCCGGAATAACAACGGATAATAAGAATGATAAATGTAACAAGAAGTATTGGCTTATTTCCTACAAAGAATTAAAAAAAAAGACAGAAGCGAACGGAGGAAAAGTCGTTTCCAAATAGGCGAATAATGATCAAATTTAGGAGCGAAGGTCGCCGACCATCAGAGCTCATCGATCGTCAGAGTGTCAGAAGGACGGAATTGCGCCGATAATTAAATTACCCCTAGTCGAGTGTGCAACCGCGACCGAAATGAGTTTCGGAAACAAAAGCGAGCTGTTATTTCGAAAAACGTTTTCACCGGCCGATAATTGTGCAGACGCGTAATCGTACTTTAGCAGCCGCGTTTTGTATTTCATTATACCCGGGGTCCTTCCGGATTATTTTTCTCTTCTTTGTGCCGCCGCCGAGTTACTCGAATGTTATAAATATATGAAAGGAATTAATTCCGCGGGTGCGCCCGTTACGTGGAAATTTTCGCGTAAAACGCAGCCCGCAAGAATTTAAAACCGACCTTTAAAAGGATAAAACGAAAAAAGAACCGTCGCAGTCGAAAGAAGGTGCGATTCACGCGGCAGGACACTCTGTGCGTAAATATTTTCCATCAATTACTTTACTACTTTCTCCCCACCCCTCCTCCGTAGTGATAATATTTAAAATGAAACGGTTTCAGGTGCGCCTTGGTCGCAACGAGACCGTGCCGAGACGTGACATTTGTAAGAGAGAAGGAAAGGAAAATCTTAAAACGGCGGAACTTCCTTACCGTCTGAATCCCGCGTGTTAAAAACAAATATTTTGTGTTAAAATCGGTCCTTATTAAAATTTCTGTGTTAAATTCTTGACACACCTATGTGTTAATTTAACATACTGTGCCTATGTTATCTCAATATATATATATTTTGTGTTGATATTCAACCTGTGTAAATGTTAAAATAACGCATCTTATACTTCAGTGTCGCTTAACATATTAATGTTGTGTTAAATCTAGATGTAATATTTGCGTTACTTTTCAACACATTCATCTAGTGTTTAAATTAACGTGGAAATTTGAGCGGACCGTTCGGGATATGTGAAATGTGTTGGATTTAACGCAACTTTTTACCGTGTACGCAATTAGAGAATTTACTCTCGTAAAAGACACGTACCCTCATGTGCGCTCCGCTGCGACTGTACATGATCAGCCCGTTCGGCTCATTCGTACGGATTTTGAAGGACATAACTCCGGACTTGGCCGCCTTCCAGGGTGGCAGAACCTGAAACAAATGAGACAGATGGTTCTTACTACGTCGCTCCGGGGGGCCTAAGAGAAGAAAAAAGTCGGCCGAGGAAGAAGCCGTGTCGTCCTTGAGAGAAGAATGGACGAGCCAGACTCGTCGTGCCCGGCATCCGAAATCTCTACGTGCAGCCCTATGCGGAATCCGCCATTCGTCAAGGGACGCTTGAAAAAATCGGGTCGTTCCTTGGGCACAAGCGCACGTCCTCGCGCACGCTCGCGCGCGAGGCGGCGGAAGAGGCGGACGTCGATATTTATAACGACGACGAGGATGTCTTTTTATTCGGAGCTCGGAAGAGGTCGAACTCGCGTATGTGGAAAATATAAGGATATGCCGGAAAAGATTCGTCGATTCTGTTGTCGCGGACTATATAGGGTGAGGCATAACTAACACATCGCTTTGAATATCTTCGAAAAATAAGACTGGATGAAAAGAAATACTAAATTTTAAGGACAACTGCTCCGAAGAATGATAAAGATTGAGTACATAAAGCCAAGTAACTAAACACGGATGTTTTAGTGAGAGAATAAGATTGTTCATCGTGTATCGCGAATGTACTGAAGATTTTCGGACGAAGGAATTCCTCCTGGCTGAGGCAAAAATTTGCTTATTAATTTATTTAGTGATCGATTAAGGGTTTTCAAGGGATTCGTATTTATAACGATATTATTGGGAGTCGAGGGGTCGATTCATACGTGGAAGGCCGATTCATCGCGTTCGTTTGCCCGAAAATCTTCGGTACGTTCGCAGTACATAATAAACAATTTCATCCTTCCGCAACAATATTAATATTGATAATATTAATATTTAAATGGCACTAGAATATTCATATTTTGACTTCTCATGTATTCTTTAGCTTCTTATACATTTCACCTTGAAAATAGCACATTTTGGTTACAGAAGCGACGACATCATTGGTGTGAACGCAGTTTTCTGTTAAGTAAATTTCTCTCTCACGTTTATCATAATATTTCGAAGACATTCAAGATGGTAACGATTATCGCCTCACCCTGTACACACGGTATTGCGTGTACTCATGTGAGAAAAGGAACGTGAAGTGAGCTTGTGTAGATATGTCGTCTGTGTATTATTTCATTTCGCAAACGTGCGTTACTTTCAGGTAAACGCACGCGCCATATATAAATTTACAAATACATACGTATATATTTTGTCGCTTGGCGCGAGGATTCCTTTTCCGACGGGACAATTTTTCCCAATGTTATCTTCAGCGTTTCAAATAATACAGCATCGGAGATACCGGCCCGTTACATTTCCGGGCGAAAAATAGTCATTCTTTTATCGACGGCGCTCGACAAGAACGTTTTTTCTTCCCCGTCGGGAGGGGAAATGTTTGAAGTGGAAATATTTTTTTATGCAATATTTGTTGGCAATTGTTTGAAGAATCAACAGCGGCCGCCGGGCGCCCGGTTGAAAGTGCGTTTCGCGTCTACGGTGGAAAAAGGGCTCGCCCGTACGCGCACGGTTAAAATACGTGTCTTCGTCGCCGACGTTTCCGAACTTTCGGAAACTCATTTCGCGCGCCGACAGTCCGCGAAATAATAGGCGGCCGTTGACAAAACACGCGCCCAGAGAAATTCGAGGGAATCACGCGGTATGTATCACGCGGCCGCCAACGAAATCGGAGACAGCGAGAAAAAAATACGGTGTATTCCGCGGAGACTGCATACCGCGGAAGGGGCCGGAAATAGCCGGTCGAAATAACGGGATACGCTCGTGGGGCCGTCGTGTATAACAGCTTCCGCGCGTTCGTTCGCAAGAACGAACTCCGGGTCCGAATTTAAATGAAAGCGTCCCCGTCGCTTCTGCTATCTTTATCCCGAAATTGTTTCTCGCGGGTTCTGCATTTTTCTTTTTTTTTTTATCCACGTCCCCCGCGGCCCACGACGATCTCTTCGTAATTTTCCCTTTGTTTCTCCTTTCATTTCCTCCTTTTTAATTGATTCCCGAGGCATTCGCGAAAAAGGAAAACAGAGGGCACCTCCGCCCCTCCCCCCTCCCCTCTTAATGAGCACTTGCCGGTAAACTTTGCAAGTTAAACTCAACGGGGACAGCGGATCGCTTGTATTTTTCATTTATTTTCAGAGTTTCTCCCCGCGCTCTTCGTTCCCCCGACCACCCGTTTCATTTCACACCGTTCGCGCGCCGCCATCATCGTGAGAAATGATGAAATATTGATCCCGCAGAAATCACGTATTCTTTTCGACCTCGCTATTCGCAGTCCGATTATTAATGGTCTCACTGAGTGTGAGCGACGTCTCAGCGAGAGCACGGTTCGCAGGAGTGGGCGTGTATAAATAACGAAATAACGTTAGTTGCAAATTCGCAAGTCGCTTTTCCCGCGTTCAGCTCGCGATTTCCGCGAACGGTCGATGCGGGGCCGAGAGACGGAAAGAGAAAGAGAGAGGCGGAGAAAGAGAGAAAGGGAACACACAGTGTACCACCACGTGCCGCATTATCCGCTTTGACAGTCAAAAGTGGTGCAGCCATATTTAAAGCCGCGCTGCGTTATACGGTCAGGTGTGCGCGCTGCTCCCTGAATAATGCAGAGCACGCCTAACCGCTATGAATCAGCATCAGACGGAATGGGTCCTCTCGTTGTAGCTCATACTTCTTCTCTATCTTTTCAGCCCGGTAAAGATTCAGCATAAGCAACGGCCAGACGCCATAAGGACGCGTCCTCTCGGCGGGAACAATTTGTCGCTTTATTTCGGAACGAAGTGGCGGCCATTTTTTGTCCCTCATCCCGCGCGATCCGTTTCTCCTCAATCCCGGTCGTTATCCCGGGGATGTGCGAGCGATTTCTCCTCCTCCTTCTCCGAGGACGACGCGTCGTTTTTTTGTCTTACGCCTCCGTCGTGCATTTCCGTGCTGCGAATTTCGCAGTTGGCAAATCGACGGCCGAAAATGTCGCCTCGAGTGACACGCGAGTTAAGAGTTTACTGTTTTACCCGGAAACGCCGCGAGATGTGCTCGAGAGAGAGAGAGAGAGAGAGATTCGCTCGCGACAATCGCGCGAGAAACAACTGCGTGGGCAACAAAGTGAGGCAACCGAATCCCCGTCGAAAAAGTTCCAAGACGCGTGTCGACACTCCGTCGCACTCCGACGTTCGCGCGCGAAATTTCACCGACGACTGGCTTCGAACCGCGCGACAACAACTCGCTCGGCGAGCACTGACTGTCCGTGTGAGAGCGTCTTGCCTTAAACGATTCTAAACACCGGGCGAACAATAGATCACAGACAATAGACCGTTGACACGCGTCTACGGGAAAAAAAGGCAAGATAATAGACGGCGACTGTCAACACACGGTAAACAGGTTTCTCGCTGAAAGTCGAACGCACCAACGAGTCCGACGGCTCTCCTAAAGCTCGAGTAAATGTTGCGAATGTTACACACGTGCTGTGCACGATGAATTTTTCGAGATGGATATTACCACATGAATATATTACACGATTCGCGATGGATTCTGAAAGTTTCAGTTGCCGGTTCTCGCTTCCGGTGCGATTCGCTAGTATTAATATGTTGACCCGCCAATGCACAGTAGTTTGGAAGTAAACATTTATGGGGAAAACCTCTGAATCTTCTGCGTGATGGGAACGTTTTTCTTTTATATATACGGAAAATGCCTTTAAAAGAGAAAAGTATTTGTAAGTGGAGAAAACTATTTGTAAGTGGTTCAACATTTATCTCACTTTCTTAGATTAAATACATAAACTCAACAACATTTATCTCACTTTCTTAGATAAAATAATTCTATTTTCTTATGAATGGTTTTTTTTTTCTTAAGGGTGCGTCACTTCTTCTTTTACGATATTCTTGAATAGGAAAGGAATTTACAACATTTTGGGAAAGATTTTATGTATTCATTTATACTCGGCTCCGCCATCATGGTTTGAATCTAATCGACGATTAACTCAATGGAATTGACTAGACGCATTAGCCAATTATCTGAATTGATCAATGTGATTGGTCAATTCCATTAAGTTAATCATCGATTAAATTTAATCTACGATAACGGAGCCATTAGTTGAGTATTTTTATTTTCCGATCCTCTCCAAACCTCATGCAGAGGCCGATAAAACACGTTATATGGATCTAGAAAAGGTCAATTATTTCTGAAAAATGTAAAAAAGAAGCAAACCAAATTCTGATAGTGTAAATGTTGACAATTATTATACAAGTGTAGCTTTTCCCCAGAAACTTTTAAAATCTTTCCCGAACTATTTGGAAGAAAATACTTTTTCATTGTAACATTACGCTTATTTCACAACCACAAATCTAGTTATTATTTCACTTCAGAACTAAGAAAAATACGACAAAATGTGGAATTACTTACTTCGTAGCATATTCTTTTAGCGTATTAAATATATATAATGTCATCACACATACACACATCACTATTTAAAATAATATAATATACAGCACACACAATTTTGATGTAATAGATATGATTAAAAGTTACCTTTGACTGAACAACATTTTTAGCATCACATTTACCGATAAATAATAAAATGATAAAAAAATATAATAAAAAATAAAATTATGAAAAATAATGAAGGATAACGATTTATGATCATTTAATTATAAGATAATTCGCGACAAAATTGCATTTATATCAACTTGAAGTTAAACTTTAAAGAATGAATTTTGGTCAAACAGTATCTATCTTAGACCAATGTGCAATGCTCAACTGTGCACGTTGGTCACTAGCGAGCTCCATGATAGTCAACATATTAATGTTCTTCGCGCACAGGCAAGAAGCGCGCCGGAAGCGATCGACTTCGGAATGGATGGAATTTTTACAATTCTGTGCAAGAAGAGTAAAGATCAAAAGCGTAAAGAGCAACGATGACCAACAATACACACACACGCACACACATTATGAAGGACTGTTTCCCCTTTCGTAATTACGGGAAAAACAGTGCCCGCATAAAGAAGCATTGTCTCCATTGTGAGGGG